TTAAAAATTTCCAGTGTTAGAGCATTCATAACTTCTGGAGGCACGTTGTTCACTGTTTAACTGTTCTAACTGTCAGGAAAATTCTCCTTCGTTCTAGGTTGCTTCTTTCCTTAGTTTCCAACCATTGCTTCTTGTCCTGCCTTTAGGTGCTTTGGAGAATAGCCTGACTCCCTCTTCTTTGTGGCAACCCCCGAGATATTGGAATACTGCTATCATGTCTCCCCTAATCCTTCTCTGCATTAAACTAGACAGATCCAATTCCAGCAACCGTTCTTTATACGTTTTAGCCTCCAGTCCCCTGATCATCTTTGTTGTTCTTCTTTGCACTCTTTCTAGAGCCTTAACACCTTTTTTACATAGTGACGACCAAAAGTGGATGCAGTATTCCAAGTATAGCCTTTGTTATTGTTAGTTGCAAAGTCATGTCTGATCCATCGTGACTCCATTGACAACTTTCCTCCAGGTCTTCCTGTCCTCTATCTGGAGTCCATTTAAGCTCACGCCTACTGCTTCAGTGACTCCATCCAGTCACCTCATTCTCTGTTGTCCCATTCTTCTATTGCCCTCAATCTCTCCCAGCATTAGGCTCTTCTCCAGTGAGTCCTTCCTTCTCATTAGGTGGCCAAAGTACTTGAGTTTCAACTTCAGGATCTGGCCTTCTAAAGAGCAGTCAGGGTTGATCTCCTCTAGGACTGACCAGTTTGATCGCCTTGCAGTCCAGGGGACTCGCAGGAGTCTTCTCCAGCACCATAGTTCAAAGGCCTCAATTCTTTGGCACTCAGCCTTTCTTATGGTCCAACTTTCACAGCCATACATTGCCACTGGGAAAACCATGGCCTTGACTATACGTACTTTTGTTGGCAGGGTGATGTCTCTGCTTTTCAGTATGCTGTCTAGATTTGCCATAGCTTTCCTCCCCAGGAGCAAGCGTCTTTTAATTTCTTGGCTTCCGTCCTCATCTGTGGTTATCTTGGAGCCCAGGAAGTGGTATTAACACTTCAAGTGTTATATTCATGTATAATCAGTTTCATATGCTTTTAAAGATCTAAATAATGTTCATTTCTCCTATATGAGTCTTCCTCCTATTTTAAGTCATTTATTGAATTTCCTACCTTGAGGCGGTAGGTATTGCAGACATACATATGGACCAGGTGAAAATTTAAATGTCAAGAGTAATCCAAATTAAAGTAAAATAATTGTTCCCACTTCTTTAAGCCTTCCTTAGGAAGAATTAGTGTATACATAAAGTTCATATTTTTATTAACTTTGTTTTTGCAGTTTTTTCCTTTCTTTGTCTTTCCAATTTCTGGGTATTAAAATTAATTTTAATATTAACATTAAAATAAATTAATTCCATATGTAATAATGTACTGTACTATTGCTTTCTGACATCATAGGAAAATAACATACAAAGGTACATATGCTAGTTATATATTAATTACTATATATTGATTTGGATGAAAAGCAAACCAAAAGAACAAGTCACCTCTTAAGAAAATACTAATACATTATATTAAACGTGATGGAATGTATTTTCAGCAACAAACAAGGTCAAGCATATCTTCTTTAAAAGAAGATATTAAAGCAGATTTTATGATGTCAGAATCAATGAAAGATATATCCATAGCCCTGATGTATATATTGCTCTGACAATTTTAGTCAGGAAGTAGAATGTTAGGAATGTGAGAAATTATCCAATTGTATGTTTGAAGTTTTGCCCATTTGCTTGATGTCCTACTGATATTAAATTAGACAGAGTGAGACCTCGCTTTTCAATATCTTTTAGTGACCATAAATTATATGCTATCTAGATGGTCCAACTTTCCTGTTCAGATGTACAGGGGAAGGAGACTCAGAAAGTTGTGTTACATTCCCTAACAAACATATCCCAATCAAGTATAACATTTTAGTTTTCTTCCAATCTTACAAGCAAACAGAATCATGGCTAGGAAATGTATCCGAGATTGATATGTAAAGATCCGAAATCATATTATAAATCTTAAGGGGAAAAAATCACATATAACATTTAACAACAGAATATACAAGTCCTGATTTTATCTCTGAAGAATGCTCTCAGCAAACATTATTACTTTGTGAGTTATTTCAGTTTTAGGTAGCCCAACTATGAATGATACTGGGAGCTAGCCATACAACAATATAAAAACATTAAATAAACAAAAACAATTCCACACTCAGACAAAAAAAAAGGAAGAGGAGCAAATGGCAAGCCTCTCACACACACAAACACACAGAGGGAGGGAGGGAGGGAGGGAGGGAGGGAGGGAGGGAGGGAGAGAGAGATTGAGATAGAGAGAGAGAGAGAGAGAGAGAGAGAGAAAGAAATTGACCTTGAACAAGTTGGCTCCAAGCATTTTAGCCCTGGCCTGGAGGACAGGTTCAATTATATTTTTTTTTTTAAAAAAGGGAAACACCTTAAGTACATTTGCGCACAGGTGAAAATCACTACTTTGATTTTCAGACTAAATCAAACTGAAAATTATGTCACTAATTTTAGACCAAATATGATAACAGGCTATTGGAAAAGTCGAAGCAAACAGTGTTATTCAATATATCTTACTATCTAGTAATATGAGGAAAATCTGTGTTCAGTTATATGATTTTTCTTAACAACTTCTCTTTCGTGGTCAGGTTTTTGTTTTATTTTTATTTTTTTTAAAAAAAAACCTTGCATCTTTATTTTGCCTCTGGGCTCCCAGAGTCTGTTATATTCAAGAGTAAGTTTAAGGATGTGAAAGCTCAAGGAGCAAGGGTGAAAAAAGAATGGGCAGTCATTTGAATCAGTGAGTGACAGGTTGGACCAGCTCTCCGTATACATTAATAAATTAGAATTTTAATTGTGCCTCCGACTGCAGAAGCAGCTCCGCTACTTTAATATGTACCAACAATTGGCTATGCTATGGAATCTGTGATGTGGCCCTCACTGTTGACCTCTGAAACACAATTCCCACTCTGACTAGAGAAACTGTTTGGCTTGATCCTTTCAACTTATTTGAATCCTGACAAATAAGCTCATAGCTGAAAGGTCAACATAGTCATATTTCATCCTCTGGAGCAATTCTTAAGACATCTGCACAACAAAGCACTTCTTCTAGTATCTGACATTGGGCCTTGCCAGCACACTATCTCATTAAAATGTCTCTAGTAGAAGAGTCTATTAAAAGGCAAATGGATAAGATTTGGTCAAACAACGCTTTTTTCCCTGAGATTTGTCAGAAGCAAAACAGTTATTTCTTTTCAAATACAATAAACCAAAGGATGGAGTAATACAGGGTCAAACTGGATCTTATACCCATGGATTCTAAACAGTCCTCTAAATATTGGCTACTTCCTGGTTGTTAGCCGACAAAGTACTCTTCCAGTTTCATCAACCATGCAATTAATCAGTGTGTCAATGCTGCAAATACTGTATATTCTTGCTTTGACAATATGCAAAACTGTCTGGCATTTATTGGGTTAATACTTAGCTTAGACTGAGCGGGGAAAAAGCCCGGGAAAGAAAGAGGAAGTAAACGTTTGACCTTCTCACTAATTGGATAATGTGACCTGTGACTGCATGAGAAGGGAGGGGTTGAGCAAGGAAAGCTTGATGCCAGCGACAGGAAGTTCAGATTCTGGCATTAACCAGTCCAACATGGTGACCGGCAAAATTTGTAGCTCTGCAAATAAAGACTTTAGGAAACATGCCTGAAAGTTCTTTGAAGTGCTTCATTAGTCGGAACGTGTGACATCGTGTATAGAATGTATGTGCTGAGCTTTGAATATATATTTTTCAGGAAAACAGTACTAAAAGCAATAATGCACTTCATGTCATTTTGGTGAGAAGTTTTGACTATAATCCAAAAAGATGTGAACAGAGAAGACTTCAAGGAAAGAAAGTTTCTGAATAATATCATACCAAGCACAGAAGATCATATTATCTAACTTTTTTCCCCATAGGCCTGGGTACCTAATCTCACAAGTTTTGAAGGGACTCTAGAGTGAACTGCACAGAGATTATTGGAATCTTTGTTGTCACTGGATACATCTAATATTTAGAAACAAAAGCAGCACATTTCATATAAAGAACCTGTTAGTAATACCAAAACAAATTCAATTGACTAAGCCAATTTCAACTAACATTAGTCATCTTTCCTCAAAAAATGTAAACCGAAACAGCAAATCTAATGCAGCTATCTTTTTTGAACCAACATAATATCGTACTGGGCCATGAAGTGATCTACAACAATATGGAATTAAACAATTAAAATGGTTTCTTACAAAGACTGCTCAACGGATATTGAGTATTCAACTGAAAATATATAATTTTCACAAACATAATAAATATTGGGAAGTTTCCAGATAAAAACATCATCTCACTAGAAAACTGTCTCGTGTGTTTAAAATAGCATTTCACAATGCTGTTTCAAAACAACAATAGTTCCTGGATGATAGTTTGTCATATGCCCTTATTTCAAACACTCTCTATTCTTTCCAAATCTTTTATTTAAAGAACAATTAATACCCCCTTTTCAGAATATCACATATCAATGGTGTATGATGGATGGTCTCTGAGAAATGATCTCTTTTTATGATCTCCTCCATAGGAAGCTGCCTTATTCTGATTCAGACCATTTAATCATTTATTGTTTTCTATATTATCTGACAGAGACTCTTTAAGATTTCAAAGAATGGTGATGTTCAGCTTTACATGGAAATGTAAAGAACAGAATCCTGTACCTGCCTGAATCTTTCCAAGTTCTTTTCATATTCCTCACAAGTTCTTTAGTTTATTGATGAAAAATTCAAGAGTATGCACCACTGATCCATTTCCACCACCATAATAATGCTATCAAACATGTTTGAGTAAAGAATATCAACAAAAGCAAAGTAATCCATTTTTTAAAAAAAATCATCTTCCCATTATTTATTCTTTTTGCATCCTTTTAACATATATTATTCAAGCAAATCAAAAGGTTTTTTTTAAAGAAAATATTTCTTACCTGAAGGGCTGGCTGTTTGTCATTTCTCTTGGGAGACTTTAGCCCACTAACGTGTTGTTGTTGCTGCTGCTGTTGTTGCTGCTGCTGTTGTTGCTGTAACAGAAGTTGTCTTGCTACCTGGAGAGCCTGAGGAAAAATATAAAATAAATTAGTTCAATCTAACTTAATTTAAGGAAATGCTTGTTTCCTGCTTGAGCAGGTGGTTGGATTAGAAGACCTTCAAGGTCCCTTCCAATTCTGTTATTCTGTTCATAACAGGCCAGGCTTGGCTAAAATAGGGTGGACTATTTTTTTTCTGATAGATCATGCTGGGTGAACTCAGCCAATGTCTTATCATGTTAAATGAAGAGGACTTCACATGAGGTCTTCATAAATTTATGAACACAGCAACTATGTTTTATTAACCTGGTGTTTGGTTTGAAATGCTATGTGAATACAGCCGTTATGTACATGTCCTAAAGCAGGGGTCTTCAAACTTGGCCCTTTTATGACTTGTGGACTTCAACTCCCAGCGTGCCTGGCTGAGGAATTCTGGGAGTTGAAGTTCACAAGTAATAAAAGGGCCAAGTTTGAAGACCCCTGTCTTAAAGAGAATCAAATCTAAGAAGCACCACTGGACTGACCCAGCAGTTACTCTCTTTTTGGAGGACAGGGCTAATCTATGGAATAAGTTCTTTTTTTTTTTTTTTATACTAGCGATATACAAACAATAACACTAACAGGAAAAAACAGTAGCAGTGGTCAGAAAAGAACCTACATAAATTGTGATGATTAAAATAAATTAAAAAACAGCCAAAAGAAAGAACAGAAATGCCCCCCCCAAAACCTAATGAAAGAAAAAAAGAAAAGATATAATATTCATTTAATATCAACACATAATTAACCCATCAAAATTACTCAATAAAATTCCAACAGCAGTATAGCAAAGCCAAAACACCTGAATAATAATGATGATCTCAATGAACTCTCAACGCTATAGTCCCATTGTTCAAAGAATTCAGTATTATCCTAATGTACTGAAAAAAATGGAGTGGAGTTTTTATAATCAGCATGTCAGTTGGCTTCTATATATAGTCATTCTAAAATCTGATGAGAAGAATCAGTTTATGTAGAAGACAGTTGTTGGTGAGACCATTTTGTCACCGTTTCACATTATAACGAAACATTATTAGCCTCCTTTTAAAGCCATCTCAAAGAATATAAATGCAATATCTCGCAGAGAAACAGACAGTTAAAATAACAGTATCACTGTTCCTTGGCAAACTCTGGGAAGTTCTGTTAGGCCATGTTCACACATTCCATTTCTTCCTGATCTCCAGGAAGAGATTAGGAGGTGATCTCAGGCTCATATTTTCTCACATTTATCCTTCTTGATTTGCCCTTACTTTGTCTGTCTTGAGAAATAAATAAATGAATAGGAAATCCTGAATTTCTATGGACACTGGACTCCCTTTAACATAAAAAAATAAATAAACTTTAATTCTTTTACTAGAGTTAGATAATAATTGCATATCAATGCTATTGGCTTTTGCCCATGCTGTTAATGAGGCTATTGGCCTTGTTATTTCAAATAACCTCATATTCATTTACATATTTAAGTAAAGTCTGTTAAACAGTGACTTCGGCTGTTCAGTATTCAACCCAGTCTTTGACTGTTATGAAAACATCAGCTAACAACACAACTACTAGCTTTACAATTCAAACAAGAACTGGAATGCTACACATTCAAGGTCCCTGCGCTAGTTTCAAGGGGGATAATGCATCCCCATGTGATAAATCAGCAATAGCTGGATCTAAGAAACAGTGGCAAGGGAAACTATAAAAGGAATTGGGATGCCAGTGCCACAGCTGAAGATACATTTGGAATTTTTGAGTATGTAGCAGGTGATAAAACCTGGAGACTGGGGAAAAGAACAAAGAGATTCATGAAGTGTATTCCTATGCAGCTCACTCCAAGGGAGCTAAAGGACTCACCAACATTTCAGATATGAAGGAGAAAGCCTGCCTGTAGGAGCCAGTAGGAAATTAATGCCTGTAAGAGGACAGCTGGAAGCTTACATGCCTCAAGGACGTGTCCCCTGCTTGCTGCCTCATTGGAGGATTCACCATTGCTGGACTCAAGGGTTTCCTGGTCTCCTTGGAGATGTTCAGTACATGCGTAGGTGTTAACAGTGGGAAGAGTAAAGACTTCATCAATGTAAAAGAAGAAAGAAATAGTCCTGTGCAAGATGCCTACATGGAAACAGGGAGAGAAGCATCCTTCGGCATATGTTCACTGAGATGCTAAAGCTGAAACTGATTACATGATACTCTTGAATTTATTTAGTTTCATAGGCTGGAAAATATGATCAACTGTTAATTAAAAAAGAAGAATGACCAGTAACTACAATAAGCAAAGGAAGCCTTATATTTCTTAGCAAAGATCCAGACTGTTCTGCTTCTATTTCTACTTTGACACACTACTCTAAAAGACACTATAAATATCTGAACAAAGAAAAATTTCAGTATGAAAAATAGTATCTACCTGGCATGAAAGAAGCACTGTCATGAGAAATTTTAGTCTCAGATCCATACACGGATACCAGAATAACAGATTCAGTGAAATGTAAACTCTAATGACATACCTGTAACATTCCTTGGCATACACATTTATATTTTATTTTGGTTCATTATCAAACAAAGATCCTAAAAAGTACAATGTCATTTCCCTAACCTCCTGCCTTCGAGATAAACTGGACTACAATTCCCAAGATGCCAGCCTAGATGGCCCCAGGTCATGTTTGCTGGGGGAATGATGGGAGTTGTAAAGAAACAAACACTGTATAACCTAGTGTATTCAGATGGTGGAGCCAAAAGGGGGGAAAACAGATGCTCAAAAATAAAAGTAAAGGAATGGGTGGCAATTTTTGTTAACTTTTTAAATTCTGAGCTGATGTGGTTTAGTAGCATTCATTGGTACTTTGCATGGGTTCCAAGATATTGCAGGCACTTTCACAGTCAGGACTTCTGGTATTTAGAGCCACTGAGTATATAATTAAATTAAACCACAGAGAGCTGACAACACCTCACCAAAGCACAAGAAGAGGATATTATCCTTTCTCTATGTTAAACTTAATGTTGGTAGAAAAGACTGTGGACTGCTAATAGTAACCTTTATTACAAGGTCAACCCATGTCATTTATTCAATTGTTCAGTTTAACTCTCACCTTCTCCAGCTGCTTCTGAGAGTCTCAGCTCACTCTTGACCCAAAATCCAACTACTTGCCCTGTAATTCTAAAGGCTAATCAACAGTTATTACATCTCTGGAGCTAGACAAGAAAGAAGAAGAGCAATGAAAAGAAAGCAAGTTGGCTAGCATAGGGCTTGTCTGCCTACCCTCCCGTCCTCTAGGATTGCATGTGACTTTAGAGAATCTTTACGAAATTAGCTGTCAGTTCTCCATTCAGTCTTAATGGTCACCAACTCTTATTATGCTGACTTCTGTTCTCTAATGCAGCATGTCAACCACTGCTTAAGATATTTTAAGTAAGCTTTCCATCTCTTTTAGCACATAAACTGTAGATGAGAAATGAGGGCATGTTTTTGGTCACTGTAATTTTTTAATAGACTAGGATAATATAATCTATTCAAAAGAATGTCTTCTTTTTTAAAAAAAATTGACAGGCTTTTATGAATCTTCAAGGCTATAAACATTCACCATGGAATGGCATGGATAAACTATTCTGTGAATGAGTAGGTAGATACATTTGTAAAGAAGCAAGTCTGTTAGTACTATGTTGACAAGTATAATATATCTAAAATCCTCTTTTTGTACATAAAAATTCAACAAGTCAATCTTTTTGACATCTGTTTTCTTTTATCTACTGAATGTCACAAATAACTCACTTCACCAGCAGGGTCTTACAGCAGAATATGAACTTGTGAGGTAAACATAGTGCAAGGACCAAGTAGAAAAGAAATATTCCTTTTCGTTTAACAACTAGGGAAGACAAAAATAGTTCAGTGAAACTAGGTTCTGGAGGACTTGGAAAAGGAAAATAATTGATGTTAATAAAACAATGGTAGTGTGAAGAAAAAGAAGTTTCTTTCTCTCTCTTTAATGGTAACTGACTAACTATATTTCAATGAGTGAAAATGGTTTCTAGTCTTTTTAAAAGAAGATTAGATAAGTCACAGATATTAATCTTTGCAGCTCCATGAAGTATATTGTTTATAAAAGTCCAGTTTTATAAGCAGTATGGCACTGAATATAAGTTGCTAGGAGACAAAAGTAGGACAAGGCAATCGGTTCCCCTCTTATGCTTTCCTACTGTTGTTGCCATTTTAAGGGCTTCAGGTTTGCCAATAAGAGAAACTGGATGTTGTATGAGATTGATCTGATCCACAAATTATGATAAGGTGACATAATTTACACAGTGACAAAGCTGTCCCAATAAAAGAGTCATTCTCTGTCTCATACTATAGGAGACCATAATGAAAGCCAAGATATTCTACAAAGCTCCTTGGCCCAAACTAGCATTACTGAGGCTTCATAGCAATAAAGTAGTCCTTGACTTATAATTGAAGTTACAACAGTGCTGAAAAAAAAATTACTTATAAAACTAATGCAGTGTTCCTGCAGTTATGTGATCAAAATGTGGTTATTAAAAAGAGTTGCACAAGGTTGCACTTATTTTTGGAAATAAAGATGGTATCCTTTTTCTCTGAATAACAAAGCTGCCAATGTTCAAAGAAATGTGGAGGTGTCTATAGAGACTGCTTCTTCCCAGCATTTCCTGGAATGACTGTTATTAGATGATGCTGTATGGGTCACACCGTCAGTCCAGAAATTCATACAAAAGAGACACATAGCCTCTGTGAAGAGCTTATACTGCTTTCAGTAGGTAGGACATTTTTGTAATGAACAGCTGTAAAAGCTATGAATTCTGCCTACCTCATATATATTAAAAATAAATTGAATGTTTTCAGAAGGAAGAATGAATACTAGCTGGACTTTATTCCTGCTGTTCTTTCACCCTTTATATATAGCACATGTTAAAGAAATCTGTTCTCAGCAGGATCCATGGTAATATTATAATGCATTGTTAGCTCAGATTCCAAAATTGTTTGCTAAAGTTGGTAGCTG